TCTCCGACTCAGAATGGTACTGTATGTGTCTGTATATATATGTATGTATATATATATATAAATATATACTTTGTGTGTGTGGGTATAGGTATTTTATATTTATACATATATATGTGTGTGTGTGTGCTTGTGTGTGTTTTTCACGTATATATATATATATATATGTCGACATATCTCAACATATTATCATTTACTTCAGAATACTGTCCATGGCTTTTTGTATAACTGGGCATCTATGTAAATTGTACAATTCATATTGTCCTCTTATTTTAAAGTGCCCTGATATTTCTCAAATTTATTCGTCCCGGTGTCTTTGTGTTTGATGAATTAGTTTGTGTACGTTCAAATGTGCCTGTGACCTTGTTGTACATATATGTTTTGTCATGAAACTCGATGTTTAAGTGTAATGTCAAGTATTATTTTATTAGAATAGTTTAGCTATACAAATTTTATATTCAAATTTAAAAATCTGAAATTATTCAGAATTCATGATGCAGAAACAGATACTATACATTTTTGATCGAAGACATGTTCGCATGAATACCCGTTTGTATGAGTTCTATATCAATACAAAACTTGTCGGTGATTTTGGAGTTTTGCATACTTAATTAGTTTCCGTTTTTCTTTTGTATATCTTTCTATTGGTGTATCCAGGTTTGTTAAGAGTTTTTGTATACCTTATAGCTTGTTTTACTTCAGACCGAATGAAAGGATACTATATAGACTGACATAGAAAATCAAGGGGTATTATTGCAATTATACCATTACAATTGTAATAAGCAATAGTCCGGGCACTTAATAACTCTAATATTTTAATTACAATCAACTGACGGGTTTGTTGGTTTTTTGTTTCACCACCCAATAGCATACCGCGCGTGGTTTTGTTTCGATGGCGAATAGCAGGCCAGATGCCAACGGATCGCAGTTTTTCTTCACATATGCAAAACAACCGAGTTTAGACGGTGTCTACCCGATTTTCGGCAGGTGAGTTACATGGTTGTATCTCCATAAATAATTGTTGTGTTTTTCATTAAACCCATTTAAAAAGCCGTCGTTTATATTTTTTTGGTGTGTGGACAACAAGAAGGCAGGTGAGACCTTCGTATATTCACTGCAAACGTGATTTTGGTGATATCCCATGCATATTCTCGCTCTCACCGTCTCACGTGGTTCTCGCTGTTGTTTATATGCACAAGTGGCTACTCGAACAATTAGACCGCGCTTCTTCTGACCTTTTCTTCTATATGTATTCGGTTGCTCATGTGCAGTGATGTGCTTTTTTCTTGTTTACTTATTCGATCACTGTACAGTGTGTCCTTGTTCATACAGCCTCACGCTTTAGATATAGATTTTTAGCTTTGATGCTAGTAGCATACACCTCTCTTGTCTGCTTGTTGAACCTTATATCTGGAGAATTGCATATCTCATGTGGTACCTTTTTTCTCATGTTCTCGCGTAGGATAATTGATGGCTTTGACACGCTAGATGCTTTGGAGAAAGTTCCCGTAGACGACAAATACAGGCCGACGCGAGAGGTGTTGATTAAAAAGGTCAAAATACATGCTAATCCTATAGCTGATGCCCAACGGTAGAGAGTATGCTTGCGATAGCTGAAAGAATCATTGGATGGCACATTTTTGTATATAAAATATTAGGTGAAACTTTATCGGATTGATTCATTTTACGTCTAGATAGTAAGTTTAGCGTGGGTTGATCATCTGTCTACTTCGCGCTCTAGTATATTACTATGGGCTGCTTACGCGATACATTGCAACCCTGCCTGTAAACCCGAGCAGCATCACCGTAGATCACTGCTTCTGTTACAAATACAAATTGCTGGAGATGGTGTAAGGCTAGTACAGAAGAGACAGCCAAGATTGTTAAGCAGAAGAATACAATGTACACGTTTATATTAAATAGTGCACGCCAATCAAATTACTACCAATGTACAAAGGTTCTTTTCTCCTCCTGATGGTTAATAAGGTCAATACCAAACTACGAAATCTACTATGCAATCAAATTCATCCTACAGCACTACGCATGCATCGCATTGTAGATTTCTATCGCGCCGAGAACATTCTGGATTGATCTTACTAGTTTGGGTATATATATACATCTAGTATTAAACACGATGCTATATCCGCCTTAATTTGATTTTCATATATTTATACATTTACAACATTGGTTTGTTGGTCACATTCATTTAGTACCAGGAGACTGAAAGTATTAAAACTGCCAGAATCGTCTGTGCACGGTTGCTCCATTTCTCTCTATTATAGAAATTTAGGAGAATATCGTTGTGAATATTTATGCGCTGAGGGCTCAACCCGTACAGTGACGTAAGAATTCTTCGCGATGTAAAAATTACTTTACATATGCGAATCGACTGTGAAAATTTTGTACAATTTAGAATGTGACAGCACCCAGGGTGTATCCACGGCAGCTTCCTTTGATATATTGAAGTAAAACGTGCCATTTGCAATTTGCAAGTGTACTAGAGGCAAGCACGGTCGCAATATATCCCTTGTGCTGTCAATTGGTATAAACATTTACCATTGTTGTTTGTATTCTTCTTATACATTGTTGATTCCCGGTAGAAGCCATCCTTTTAAAATTGAGAACTGATAAGCACACACAAGTTTGACAAAAGCCAACGACGACATAGTGAGTGATTTTAAAAGATGGTACATATTCAAATGATCGGGCACATATGTGAATACTTGCGTCATTCCGCGAGAAAGCCTCCAACTCGCGCTCAGCCAAGATACTTACTGGACGATACGGAATATCACCTGCTCAACCAGGCCTTGCCGCCAGTGACTGCCCAATGTACAAAGATGTATATAAACGCAATAAGCTCATCGGCTGGCGGAGCTTCGGTGACTGGTTCACCAACCTCAAAATGCAGGAGGAACAATATGGGAACCCCAATCGCCACACCCACTGTGCATCGACGCAAGCGTTGGTGTTGGCATCAACATGGCTGCTGACGCAAAATGGCGCCGTATTCTAAATGATTCGATTGATGGGACACTCATAAACTCAGTCTACAAGAAGCAACTATTGAAAGAGATGACTAAATCCACTCCCAAACAGAATATCATCGACACCTATACAGCAATATGCGAAGGCACGGACAATGGACAATGGTCAACTTTACCCAACACTATTTCGAGAACATGTTGTCAGTGTATTTGTGTCAGTTAATATTGATCTTTCACGTGCGCCGACACCGCACAAGCTCCTGTGTAGAGTAGTCTAGAACAGGGAGCACCACTTAATGACGCATTTGTCTATTCTTAGTCGATCACCGCCTACACCTCTATGAGGATATTCTTTTCACCTATAAGGCATGGAGTGCCACATTGACCAAGTAAGACGAAGAAAACGGCCTAGTCATTATAGTGTTCCCCCTAGCCCCAAAAACAAGAACTTCCTACCTGCTCTACGGTAATTATATTCCCACGTCGAGCTCATACAGGTATTGGTAGGTACATGAAAATGAAACACTGTGCCGACAGGCGGTCAAGTGCTGGGACCCTTTTCTCTCTCTGATATTGGGCGACGGCACATCTTACCAACAGCACACCTGGTACAGAACGAGAGAGTCTATAACATGCACATCATGCTGGCTTTGATGATTCTATTCAAGCGCACTACTAGGCGGTACAGTGCCGTGGAGTTGGTGGGGACATGGGTAATCTTGACATGTTGCATAGTGTTGATGGCGTTAAACTCTTTGGAGACAATTCGCTGTCTCGATCGCATTTGAGCTCCTGCAGCGTAGCTAGATAACCTTTATCAATGTCAGTATAGAACATGTCGAGGGTGTCGGCGGCATCATCGTTGTCTTTTGATTGGATAGACGAATGGCTTTCCACTACTGTCGTTAATGAATCTAATGTGGATGTACACTCATTGGTAAATGCAGGGGATGAAGAACTGTGCCGACTGTCGGTCGAGTGCTCGGATCCTTTTCTCTCTACGATATTGGGTGGCTTGGGTGACGGCGCATCTTACCAACAGCTCACGTGGTGCAGAAGGAGAGGGTCTGTGGATGGACAAGCACATCGTCTTGAGCGGACAGTAATTTTACAGTAGGATAGGTGTATTGCTTGGGTTATTCACCGATTCCAGCCTCAACCTCCAGAAAAATCTTAATGGGCTCAAATAATCGGGCCGCATGTGGTACGAGCTCATCAACAACAATCTGCTAGGCATGTGATTCACTCAAAGCAAAACTGATACATGTATGTTCGTCTTCAATCGCGACGGTTGCGTCGTCGTACTATTGAGGTCGACGTTGGCCTGATGGGGCGACCTAATTGGATATTAGGCATTCGCGTACTCATGGCTCAGGGTTCGAATAGTCTGGTATAAGATACATACCTACTTGAAGCCTTGGCCATTTCCCACCTCAGCGACCTACACGACGCACATACACCGGCTACAGTTGACATCCTACGCGAAAACACCGGTTCCCCTCGTATTGTGCATACAGGGAGGTAATCGGTACACTCCAATATTTCTCCGGGTCAACACGCGTCGACATCATGTATCGAATCAATAGACTCGCTAGGTATATGTCCAATCTTTTGCTGGAACACTTAAAAGCGGCGCGTCAATTGAGTCCCACTTGCAAATACACCTGGTCCGTCAGTAATTGGCGCAATCCCTTACGAATACTATAGTTCTTGCCTCGATGTATGTCGTTTTATCACGGGCTATATTCTCTGTGTCAACAATGTCACAGTCGCCTGGAAGTCACAATGCCAGAGAACAGTCGCAGCAGAGTAGAGCGGAAGCTGAGTACACCCCCGCTTCCGAAGCAGCAAAACAAATTTATTGATTTGGGAACGTACTCCAGGAACTTAGTTTCCTGCAGACAACACCCACGTTCCTTAAATGTGACAACAAATCACCAATTCACGTTATCGAGGACACAGGCAGCAAAAAGCAACTCAAAGATGTTGATTTTCGCGTTCATCACATCCGTGACCTATAACAACAAGGCGTCATTGCCACAGAATATCTTGCTTTCAGCGACAAAGTAGCTGATATTCTTATATAGAATCCAGCACAACCACCGCATTCTAAACATACCATTCAGATGATGTTGCCATTCCGTTGCCATTCGTTTCACATTTACCTTTTGCAACAACCGGACACAATCCAGGGGGGGACCCGTGACTGTAGATTTAATTATCTATGTTTGGCCAGCAAATACTGCTTCCAGGGAAGTGTCAGCGCATAATTAGCGTTATCACTTCCCAAATATCGTGGAGACAGCAGTTCCATGCACCAGGATTTGTGATGTCGTCAAATATGAGCTGACAGTGACACCCTGTTCAGTGTCGCACTAATAGAGAATTGTGATATATCTTATATACTTGCGTGTAAGTGCATGTGATACGAAACGAATATGTATAATAAAATTACTTTTTATATGGGACAATGGGTGCTATTAATAGCTTCTCTCTCACACAAAATAGTGTGCACTCAATGCTATTCTATTCGCAAAGAAAATGAAATTAAACAAGCCCGTCATCTGTTCTACAGTCCAGACTTGACGCTTGTGCCATGCAATAACTGAATAACCGCTGTTGTAGTCACGGTTGCACTCGAATACATCAACTGTCAGTAAAAGTACACATTAGACTTGGCGACGATTCTCTTGATCTTTCAAACTTTCGTTGTCAAATCCTCACATGTAGATAAAGTTCTGTAAATGAATTATTGTGCACTCAGGGATGATAGGTCAATGAAAGTGAACAATACTATGATCTGTCCTTCAGTTTATACGCGTCTCACTAAGGTGTACGGATGCCTATCAACGACGTGGTGATGATATGATATCAGAACTATGTGCTCCCATCGCTCGGAACCTGCCAGAAGACAGACGGCTTCATTGGCCGTATAGAGTACATATCAATCGGATTAAAAAGTGATATAGACTTTTCGCATGTTTCAATTTGGTACGCAAGGTCGATGCACACGTCAAGTTTTGCTCATAAGTCCTTTCTTCTCGTGAGTATATTGATATAATGAAGGTTTCCTACAACTTAGTTTCGTTTCGGTTTTTAGATGTGGCTTTCATATGCCATGATGGTATTCCAAAGAACCAATAGTATCTTTCGGGATGTCAAGTGCGAATGCCAATTAGAGTGACTCCGTATGTGATGCCCACAAGTACCTTCCAGCTGTAAAAAGAACTACATAAAGAATTTAATAATAAAAATCGGGTTTGTCAATGCGATACTTTCGACGACGTTTAGTGACACAATTTGTTGTTGCCTTTTTAATGCTGACTTGAGACTGTTCTCTTGGTTTGTGTCAGCCCTGCAACATCGATGCAATTGAAATTGAACATGACCATTAGTCAGTTTATACTTGTCTCACTAAGGTGTACAAACATTAGTCAACTACGTGGTGATGATATGAGATCTGACTATGTGCTTTCATTACTCGGAACCTACCAGAAGACTGACGTATTCGTTGGCCGGATAGAGTACATATCAATCGGATAATAAAATGAGATAGACATTTTCCCATGTTTCAATCAATATGGTAAGCAAGGTCGATACACACATCAAGTCTAAAGCATAAGACAGTCCTTCACATGAAGCATACTGGTAGAGAGGTTTCCTACAACTTAATTTCGGTTCATTTCTCAAGATGTGGCTTTCATGTGACATGATGGTATTGCAGAGAACTAATGGTGTATTTCCGAGTGCCAAGAATAGTGTCTTCGTGTATGATGCCCATAAGTACATCTTAAATGTAAAAAGAACTGCAAAAATAACTACAAAATATCAGGCTGTGTCCAGCCTCTCAATCGCGGCTCTAAGACATTATATTGCAGCCGGCGACGCGTGCTTTACCATGCAATCACTTTAACACAATAGTTATCCTGTCATATCAACTTCTTGTTTCAATAAGGTACCTGTACATACCTGAATTGCGATTTGATGAGTTTAACGAAGCAGCAACCCTGACTCTGAATTCATCGAATATTCCTAGAGGTACAATAAATCTTAATAGCCCAGTATGGCTCGAGCAGAAAGCCCAGTCATACGAAGGTGTAGGATTAAGAACAGACGTTCAACTTCTCAATTGTACTTATTGTTGAAGTCGTGTTGATTTCAGTTATGTGGACATTGTAATGTCTATCTGCAGACAGCCTTGCGAGATTGAAATCGTAGAGCACGAATGGCGCGAGCAGTTCGATATTATGTTGAGCAAATCTGCAAACACTGCACGGAGAATCCCTGACACGCACTCAATAATACTTCATGATTCAAACACTATCCACTCAAAGATACCGTGTTTACTTATCTCTGATAACTATTTTGCCTTTATGCAATACACGAGCTATTATGTTGCTGTTGACGCCTCCGATTAAGCAAAAATATTATGATTTGCTTCAGTTTCACTAGCCGATAGCGTACTACACTAGTTGAAAACAGCGGTTCAACAAGATAACTGTAGGCAACCGTTGCCATATTTAAAAAGTGGTGACTCAGATCAATGGTAGTGTCTTTATCCAACTTATTGAATTTACGAGGAGTTGTAGGTTCGTTTAACAGATAACCGCACATCACCACGTTGCTCATCGTAAAATGCCCAGCGCGACGGAATAAACCTACACCTCTGTTTCTGGTTATTTCTTTATACTCGATCGACACCGTCCAGAGTGGAATAAGTCGTGGATTGTATAAGTTAGCAATAAATTATCAGAATGTAGATAAATTGCGCTGAAACACAAAGCACCACATATTGGATTTAACATATTCGTACTTAAAGTGACCACCTCATAGCGATACGTCTTTTGCCTACATAATTTTGATTCCGGCCATATGATATCATTGAGAATCGCCACATCGTATGTAATATTTATGTGTAATCCATTAAAACAAAATGCAAGATTCCATTATCTGTCAATATATCGACGAACTTCACCTAGGGTAATTGTCGAGCGAAACTATTCTAAAAGAACAGACAGCATACATATTTTATGTGTCCAATCTCTCTCGTTGATTGTACATGCACAATATAGGGCACACAGAGGTGATTGTTAAGGATACATTGGATTGCTCGCATGCAGAGAGACATTAAAGTGCTCGCGAAGCCTGATGCTTGTAACATACAACAAATTTTGCTAGGAGCGACCCTGCGGATTTTACACTTACCTCTTTAGTTTCAAGATTATACTCTACTAATATCAAAATTCGATAAGATGGTATATTCTTTTTTAACGGGCAAAATCTCTGTTGTAGCCTATTTACTTTGCCTCTCGAGGATGAATATTTGTGGTAGGATTATCTCCGAATACTTAACAAAAGTGGCTCAGCAAAAAACATTGCTTGTTATTATTAACAACCTCGGTTAATGTAGCCTAAAAAGGTTATTTCAATTGGTATACTAAGAAATCGAATGGTATCACAGTTCTCTCAAGTTCAATAAATTGTATACGAATTCGCCTAGCATGTCGCTCACATTTGACATGTCTAAAATGCAAGTTTTAATTACTGTGCATAACAAATGAGTAGAATCTGCCATTGTTACTGAAATGCCGACAAATTGTCAACCACATCGGCGAATTACGCGTTGGTTGGTGAGCTAGTCACTTAGCCATACACAGTAAATCCGATAACTGTGGTTAATGGCAAATTAAAAAAGGATTTAATAAACAGAGATAGTACTCTGCATCAAAATCTTTATCGCATACCGTACCGGGTATTTGAATTGTCTACACTTCGTGAAATCAACTACGCGATCAACCCATATCAATGCACAAGTGCAAATCCCGAACACAGGTAGAATAATATACAATGATATAACCATATAACCATTGGTTTCGCAACATTGAATATATGCAGTTTTGTTTCCCGCGCTGCGTGGATTATACGCAAATATTCTATGGCCAATTTTAAAATGCAATATGCGACTTTTTAGCCTCCCGGTGCCCCGGGGCACATAAGGCAACACTTGCTTCAAATCAAATTCCAGAAAAACAAACGAGATCATTCATCAGCGGTATCAGGCTTTTATATATATATAATATTGTGAATATATATATTATAAAATCCAAAATAGATATATCTTGATTGAGGTAGTGGTTATCCTATATGATTTTGATTCATATTACCCCAGTTCGAATCTGGGATCGAGCTCATTTTTTCTTGTTTTTTTTTGACCATTTTTTTTTCTCGTTTTGCTCAGAATTTATTGTAATTGGAGGACGAGCTAGAGAACAATCACTTTTAGTAGGAATATCTGCTTATAGCTGACTAAAAAGTGAAATAAGTAAAATTACTTATTGAGTGATACGAGGCCTATTGTCAGGAGACTCGGTCTCCGTCCCTGGATATATTATTTGTTTGCCCATTCCAAAGCACCGGGCGCGGAGTACTAGTACTAGTATGGATATAGGGATCGAGATTGTGCAGCACTTCTTCAACGTGTGTTTTTGTAGCCACCGCGTTTTGAAAGGATATAAATAGCTGGGGTGTATTAGAGCAACAATATACAGAGTACATCAATGTACAGAGTATATGAACTCGATAGAGAGGTAAAGCCATAACTCGTTCTCGGAAGGGAGCGCCCAGGAAGAATAACCAGTAGCATCAAGCCAGGTATATTCTCAGGGAGAGACTTCGAGTAGAAACCAGCCGCAATCAGTTGTAAGCGACGAACTAAGCCAAGCAGTGACAGTATGCGATCGTGTGACCCTCCTATATATGCTAAGGGTGTTATTGAGTGGAGAGTAATATGTCTTAACGTGGGGGGGGGCATTATATGTGGACCTGTGAATACTGGGTAAATGAATACTGGAAATCAACATCCGTTCGGTGTAGATTTAAGGATGTGGCATGTAGTAGGATACTAGGGGTTAGAACCAGCGGAGATGAGCATATATTGTGGCCATGATTGTCCAGGCCTCTTTGGAAATCTGCCAAGGTAGGATTTCTATAGAATCAGTCGGTGATATGCCCACGGTTCGACGAAGTATCTTGTTAACACATTTGCCATGTGAGATGGCGAGTGCACCAGTAGGCTGCATTGGGCATGCTGAGGCACAACCACTTCCAGGAGCACTCGTTTATGTTGTGAACCAGTATGTGTGCAGATTAAAGTGCTTTATTAATATTATCTGGGGACTAAGAAGAGGTGAAAATCGTATCTTTAAGAGTGCGAGCGACTACGGGATCCCTCTGTAGTAAAATGAGCATGTGACGACGGATGGGCTCCTAGTTCGCTTGTTTCGAGTGTTCGGGGTTTTCGTCTTATATTGTGTCAGACATTGACCTGAGATGCAGATATATTTCATGTACGGGGCCATGGTATGCCAGACAAGAGTGTGAGCACGCGATTGCTCGTGATATTCGTTGTGAGGTGAGGAATTAGTTCCTTCAAAGGGTGGTCAGTACCTTGCGCACAGTGGATGAGGACCCACAATGTTTTCCCCCAGATGTTGCATGAATTGGTCCGCTACAAGCAGACCTGTGAATTGCATCAAAGTGAATTGGTTTTAGCTCGGTTGCGTGGGACTGATTTGCGATTAACAAAAATGCAGGCACAATTCAGTACCCATGTTTGCAGCTGGGCGGTGTAGCTCGGTATTTAATCTCGTAAGTGTACTTGAGGAGGAGCTAGGGATATAATGCTAATACTATATATGAGCCGCGCTTGTATGAAAGTTTTGTGGATTATAAGTTTTGTGTGTGGGTGCAGCTGGTGCCCAGTATGGAAGCCAAATTGTGCGGAGAAGAGGAATATGGTCTGAAATTTCCGTGTGCGTGATTTATATAAGGTTCGAAACATGATGCCTACTTTGCGGAATGCAAGGTCTAGATATTTATACGTCTGGGTACCAAGAGCAGAGTCAGGAAGTCAGTAATTAGAAGATCCAGATATAAATCCAAATTTCTTGATATTAAAGGCCATGCCGGAATCATCGGCCCAGTTTTGGCAGGTGTAGTTAAACGTCGTATAACAGTATCTCAACGTTTTCCCTCGGTTCAGAGGAAGACGTTGTTCTTCTATTCATTAAGTCTTGATTACGGAATCTAATTACTTCTGAGACATGTGCCGATCTAAAACCCTGATCAGTGAAAACTAAGTTTACAGATTTTGATATTATAAACTAAAATAACCTAAACTAAAATAACACTAACAACCCTGTCTGGGTGAGCACTAATAACTCCGTCTGAGTGTATTCCGACCACCAAGCTGAAGCACTACCTACTAGTGTGCCAACTTCAGAGAAAAGGAAAAGAATACATTTATCCTCAGAGAGCTAGAGCAGTGTGCTGGGAGCATTTAACCTCAGAGAGCTAGATGGCCTGAAGTATACGTTTCGAACGCACCGTCGTTCATAAAATATAAGTAACTATATACACGTAAGAGTCTAAATTTGGTCTGCGAGTCCTTGTGATAGGCGACAATGTCGTTGGGGTCGGTAAAGGCCTCGACTGTCTTCCACGCGGGGTCGCCCTCGCACCATCGCACCAAGTGTTTAAAATTGCCTGTCTCATCGTTCGTACGATGCTTAATAATATGGCGGAACTCAACTCTACCTTCTGCCCACAAGGTATCATCAAGTGGTGGGACTGTACTACAATGTAGTAACCGAAGGTGCTCAACACGGACTGGCTTGCTCTTGAATTCTGATGGTGCTGACCCGTCTTTGTTCGCTAACTCGTAGCGTTGCCCGATTCTAGTCTTGATAACATACGGACCAAAGAGAGGACACATTGCTTTTGTCGTTCTGCCTTCCGAGCGCACCATCACTACGTCGGCTTCATCGAAATGTACCAAGTCATGGGCATGGAGACGGTCGAAGATCTTCGTTAGCTTGCCCGTATACCACTCGGTAATAAGGTGAAGTGTTGGTAAGATGGTATCCTGCATCTCATCTAATCGTTGCGCCCATGTATCGTTAGTCACTGGTTGTGATTCCGGTACTGTATCAGTAAATTCGGCAAACGGTACATGCCTGCGTCCGAAGTATACGCTAAAAGGTCCACTCTTATGTCTGCGGGAGATACGGAGGTTCTGATAGAGCATCGTGAACGGAAGGCGTTCATCCCAATGAAGTGGTACTGCCTAACAGCATTGCCGTGTTGATCGTGAAATATCCTTATGACGACCCTGGGCTGCCCCTAAGACCTGTGAGCGATATGGGGATGATAGCTTCCTGCACCAGGGTGTCCACTATTTTGTTTGTAAACTCTGGTCCCATGTCGGTTTGGGATCGTCGTGAGAAACTATGTTCACCGAAAATCTCTAACATTGCCTGTACCATGGACTCCTTTGTCTTGTCCGGTGTTACACGTAGAATCGAATATCCAGTGGCAATGTCTAACACATAGAGTATGCACTTGTTCTTCCTCCGCGATTCGATCGGGTTTTAGGGTTTATAAACATGTACTGCACTGTCGCTTAGCCGTTGTCGCCAGTTCTAGAGCGCTTGGCCACATATGTCCATCGTTGCGGAGCTGTTGTACCGTATCGGCTGCCCCGTGATGGCCGTGCTAGTGTTATGCTCGTGTCAGTCGTGTATGCCGAAGCTGTTCCTCCGGTATTGCTTGTGCAAATGCAGGTTGACCTTCGGCTTCAGCCATGGTGACCAATATATATCGTGCTGTGTCTAAACATTTCGCATTCGGTATTTGGTGTGGCTCTGCGCAACCCAGTTGCTGTGAGAAGACGGGGTCCAGCTTGAAATTATTGAATGGGCCTAGTCTCGCTATCAATATATAACTCCACGGTGTCTTGCCTCACGCATACTTGCCAAACTTCAAGAATGTACGTGGTGTTCTAGGCACCAGTACCGGTTCAGCTAGATTTAACTGTTTGAGTATGTCGAACCATCGCGCCCGTGGTACCCAAGGTAGACACGTTGTGGCTGGTGACCCCTCTGTTTTGATCTTCCTAAGCATCTTGTGTATCAATTTCCAAGGTGGGTTCATCCGTCCATCCACTGACGACCAATCGTGATTAAATGTCCCTTCCTTGTCATCTGTGGTCTAGAATCGAGGCAATTGTGCGTTCTGTGGGTCCGCAAACACATCTACATTATTCGGACCAAAGATCTGTTGTGCTTGTTCAAAGTAGCTAGGAAGCAGCTTCCAACAATCTGTGTACAGTATCTCGGGTTCATTACTCTCTGCCGTACCCTCATACACCTTATTCAACATATCTGGTAGGATATTCTTCTCCCTCGTGATGTGGGAAACTGTGAAGTTGAACGGCGCGATGATGTGTTGCCATCGTTGTAGCATCGGGTCAAACTTGAGTTATGTGTTCTAGTATACTAGCGCTTTATGATCTGTAAAGACTGCAAACCGTTGCCCGTCCAGGTGGTCTCGAAAGTGCGTTAGACCATACACGAGTGCGAGTAGTTCCCTCATGGGTGTAACGTAGTTCTGTTGTACATGGTTCAACGTCTTGCTAAAGAATATCAGGTAGTGTTTCTTGCTGTCGACGCTTTGAAACAATACTCCGCCTATACCGTAATCACTGGCGTCGGTCTCCAAATTCAGTGGTACTCCTTCTATCGGAAAATGTAATGCCATTGCATTTACCACCGCCTGCCACGCGTCGGCATGTTGTTGTGTCCACCGTTCATCAATTCGCTCATTCGGTCTGAGTTTGCAGAGCTTCCGTAGCGGTGCTACGATATGGGCAAAGTTGGGAAGGTGCTCGTGGAGATAGTTCGCTATGCCTAACGCTATGCCAATCTTGCAGCTTTGCCTGTTCCTCATAATCCACGTCAATGTCTTGCGCTGATACCTTCTTGCCCAGTATCAATACCTCCGCAATTGCGAAGTGGCACTTGGCTGGGTTCAGCTTAAAACTATTGTATGTAAGACGCTTGATGACTTCCTTTACTGTAGGGATATGTTCATCGTAATCATCACTGGCAATCATTATATCATCGATGTAGTGTTGTTCTGGTAGTCCGTCCAAAATTGTGCTCAATGTACGTTGTAACTGTTGTGTTAGTACATGTAGGCCGAATAATGCCGACGTAAAAGAATACTGGTAGCGTTCATGTGTGAATCTGAACAGATACCGTGAGGCTGCAAGTATTGGTAGTCTATGGTAGGCCGCCGAGATGTCCAGAATTGTGTAGTACCTCTTGCTCTTCAATCGCGAAATATGTTCGTTAACTTTCGGAATCAAGAATTGGTCACCGGGAATGAGTGCATTTACCGCACGCATGTCTAAACACACCCGCTCCTTCTTAAATTTGCCTTCACTATCGAACGTGGGCACGGCAAGCAGTGGTAGATTAGCTGTTGTTGGTGTAGTTCGCTTAGTAATGACTAAGTCCTTCAACCACTTTTGTACTTGCTCATCGACATAAGGTAGCCATCGGTCTGATACGAAATTACAATGGCTTGTTCTTGCGTAACTGGTATCATGCCCTCACTCCCCCCGAGGCGACATCGTGCGTTGTCTGGAATCGCCGCGCTCACCTCTAACTCCATAGTCAACCGCTGTCGAGCATCCACTGGCTCCGTTGTGTTCGGTGACTGCCGACGTGGTATTGGTTTAAGCAATTCATCAAGCTCCGTGTGGGCGACGGGAGCAAGAGATGATTGAATACCGCCTATATCCTGTCCTATGATAATGTCCATGCCCACAAGTAGATTCATTAATTCGAACGAACCCTGGATAATCTTCGTAAAATACCGTATCGGTATTACTTTCGTCGTCCTCGGTCGCGGAGTTCGGACCGCCTTGTCAGCTAAGTTTATGAACGACCCAGGTGGTACTGAAGTAATTTGACGGCCAAGTAAGTCTGCGGATATCTGAGAGATGCAGCTTCTATTTGCACCCGTGTCTATTAACGCTCTGAACGTGCGTCCGTTCAGTTGCAATTGGATGTAGACGCTGTTATCGGGTGATCGTAATGGGTCCTTAATCGCCATCACTTCATTGATAGTGTGTACAAACGGTATTACTACATCCGCATCAGACACTCTCACCTCTCAACTAACGCCTGTCCCTGAATCCCAGCCCTGCGGTATCGTATCTCTTGCTGGATGCTCCTCTTCATGATAGTCAGCGGTGAGTATGGCGTCTATGTGCATCTCGGTGGCCACGGGAGATGGATCGCTTCTTGTGTGATCGTGTTCACCTGTGGGTTGGTACTAGTTGTGTGCGCCGGTGGCTGTCTGGTCGGGTTGCCGCCTT